CAATTCTCACTCGTGTTGTTATGACAATCGAGTTTTCAATTCTCTATCCAACGATGCCAAAAAGAATTCTGTAGCTCAAATAGTTCATGAGAAATTTCGGAAAAAGTAGCGTCATGTTTGAGTCGATTTTGCAACTCAATAAAAAAACACGTAAATCTAAAACTTCTTTAAATCAAGACTTTTTTCGGAAAACTGCCAACATTTCCATAGACTTCCACTTTCCAAGGGCCGGTTGCACAATCCAAGTTCACCGACAGTTCAGCGGTGAACGTGGTTCAACGAAACTTTTCGGATGTGCTTTTTGACTAAAGCCAGCGACATATTTTCTTCTTTCGACGTAAAATTCATAGACTGGGCGGATTTCGTAATGGCTTCCATAATTGAAAGGTTTCACTGAATCTACTGAACTAAAGAAAAATAGATTTTAATCAGTAATTAATTTTTCAATAGTGGGATTTTCGGTCAACGGATGCTGGCAAAATAAAACACTACTTTTTCATCCGTCTAGTAATACACCTGCCTTTAGAAGCATGTTACGCTTGAATAAATATGGCACTGACTTCATAGAGCCCTGAGGATGACTTGAATAAAGTCGAAACGTAGGCCCATGAAAAAGTAGTGTTTTATTTTGCCACCATCCGTTGACCGAAAATCCCACTATTGAAAAATTATTATGATTATCATCACGGTCACTAATCAACCACAACATATATTTTAAGGCTTATACGCCTCAATCAATTCAGTATCAGACCATGTGGATGTGGTTCAGATCAAATATGCTGGACTGACAACATAGTTGCCAATCAAAGAAAACCAAATATACCACATTTTACCGACATTGGGGAGTGCCAACCCTAGGAAAAAATTGAATAGTTGAGTTCAACTGAACCGAGCTTGGATCGGCGTGGTACAACCCGTGAAAATTGAACTCCGGTTCAGTTGAACCATCGTTGAACTTGCTTTTGTGCAACCGGGCCTAAAAGAGACATTTTGTTCTCTCTGGGATGATGTAAAAATGAGCGTTCT